TGAGAGGAAAAAAATGTAACCAACCCAGTGCAAGTATAAGTGACCTCTTATACAAGAGTTAACAGTCCAACTAACTGCCCAGAGGTCAGTGGAGCTTCAGACACTGCTGGCAGTGTCTGGACACTCCAGGGGTCTCTCATCCAGGGAGACAGTAGGAGCAGAAAAGATCTGGAGAAGAGAACAAAGAAAAGGGTGCTTACCTGTTATCGCAGTGGCTAGGAGATCAGCAGAGTCCAATTAATACTTGGACTCTCGGGTTTCAGCACCATTTTATGTTGAGGTTTAGAATTGGGAGAGCTGGTTAAGGTGTGAAAGAATTCATATAGACCTTCTCTGTAACCATTGGGAGCTTTATTGACACAAAAGCAGTGGGCTAGCCCTGGAAAGAAGACTGGAAACTTAAAGAGGAACAGGGACAGTTTTATAAGGACAGGATGAGGAAGATGGTTGCTTACAAGATAGTTTTAGAAGTTTTGTGGAGGTTAAAGATTAGAAGCAGGTCCAGAAAGGATTTTATGACATAGGATGAGGGAGATGAAGGGAATTCTTTATGGTTTACAGGGCATGAAGGCACAGGTTAAAAATTAAAGGACTGGGGAACATAAGCTAAGGGACGAAAAAGCAATTCTTTTGGTACTGGTTCAAGATAAGGGGGAAAGGACTTTAGGACACCTTTCAAGTTACAGAATAAACTGGGCTTTCACAAAGTCCTGGAAAAACAACATTAATATTCTCTTAACCCTTAGAGTACTGTGTGTCTTCTACTTCATTGGGCTTCCTATTAGCATCCCAGAAGCCTCCCCAGGACAGCTAGGACCCTGACTGGCAAACCACTCCAGTATCTTTGCCAAGAAAACCTGCTACATTTAAACTTGCTACATCTGAGACAATTTCTGAGGTGGTAACAAAGGGGCAAGTCTGAAATGACCAAAGAAGTTGCTGAGAAAACGGAAAAGTGTAAGAAACGTAATCAACTACTCTTGAATGAGAGGGCCAAACATAATGGTCATGCTGACAAACTGGCCAGATTGGAGCTGAAGTGGAAGGAGCAGGTGAAAAATCATTGAGGATGCAAAACTGCGGCTCATGGGAGTGGAGGACCAGTATAAAATTCAATTGGTGAAGAGAGAACAAGAAATAAATGATCTGCCCTTTTATTTGGAAACTCGCCAAGGAGAAGGAGGAGGAGGAGGAGGAAGAGGAGGAGCTTAAAAAGAGACTTGAAAATCAAACCAAGAGAGTCATGGAAGAGTTCCTGGCAATCCCAAGTGAGTGACACCCCAAAGAGCAAAGTGGTCCTGTGCCTTCAGTGCCAAATAGGAAACCAGTTCTGCAGTTTGGAAATCCCTCTGCAGCCCAGGACACAAGAGATGGAGCAGATGGTGCTTTTTACCCAGATGAAATCCAAAGGCCACCTGTAAAAATGTTCTTGTGGAAACTGGAAGACAGTGTAGTCTGTAGCCAGCTTGCTGGAAACTGTAGTCCACCCGCTGGTTTAGAAGACCCCGAATCTAGCAGTGATGATGATGAGAACATCCTTACTGTTCCTGAACCTGCAAGCCAGCTTTTACACGCTCATGGGATGGGCTTTTGCTTTTAGTCCAGCTCTGATGTGTCTCCTCTGTGAATTAATGTTTCCTCCCAACGAGGAGCCAAGCAAGTTTGAAGAACTCGTCTAAGGTCACCAGAAGGTGTGCCCCATATGCAATGAACAGTTCCCTCCAGAGTGTGCCCAGCAGGGGTTTGGAAGACATGTTCAGATCCATTTTGATAAGAATGTTTTAAATGTTGACTAGAATGAAATTTTTTTATGCATTGTTCCACTTTACCGTTTCAAAAAAGATAACCTCCAATAGTTAAACCATACCCAATAAAACATCTACTGCAGTTTTCTGAGTATTTATGCTATATATTACCCGTGTACAATGCAGTAGAATTAGGGTCAGGATCAATACTTGGCTTATCAGCAGATAGCAACCTAACATCTGGTACTTTCACCTGCTCTAAGAAAAGAAAGAAATTCTTTGTGTGTATGTATCTTTAGTTATTCCCCAATTGTGAACATTGTATCGATAAAGGATAGAGGGATTATTTTAATGTAACAACGGAAAAAAATATATAGTAGTAGGTAACTTAAAAGGCTGATAACAAGTTTCTGTTGAATAGGTGATTGAACATGATTAAATATTACGTAATAAAAATATTTCTGATAGCAAACTTGTGTAGTAATTCTTTGGGCAACTTTCAGGAAATGATATAATTTATCATATAAACATACAGTTTTTTAATCCTCTTTAGATATTTAGGCAGGCAGATTTCAGAAAGGTTGGGAAAGATTTACATAAACTGATGCTGAGTGAAGTGAGCAGAACCAGGAGAACACTGTGCACAGTAACAGCAACATTGTTTGATGATCAACCATAATGGACTTAGCTCTCATCAATACAATGAAATTGCTGTCCCCGTCCAGAAAAAGAACTATGAAGTCTGGATGCAGATTGAAGCATACTATTTTCACTTTTTTTCCCTTTCTTATGGTTTTCCCCTTTCATTCTGATTCTTCTTTCACAACATGATTAATGTGGAAATATGTTTAATATGATTGTACATGTATAGCCTATATCAGCTTTCATGCAGTCCTGGGGAGGGGAGAGAGGATAGAGGGGGGAAATTTTAGAAATTTCCTCAAAATCTTATAAAAATGAATGCTGAAAATTAATAATAAATAAATTTTTAAAAGTTTAGATGCATGTATGATGAGAATACATGCTTGCAACATAGCAAATACCTCTTTGTACTTGTGAAGTGTTTGCCTTAGGAATTAATCTAAGAAAGCACATTTTGCTTAATCCAGCATTTTTATGAATAAAAAATTATTTTAATTAATTTTTTTTGAAGCCAGAACCCTGTAGAGGTTAATTAATTAATAATTAATTTAATAATGGGGAGGATAGGATAGGTATAAGGGTATGTATCAATCAAGGAAGAATATGCTAGGTGGGGCAGCTAGGTGGGGCAGCAGATAGAGCTCCAGCCTTGGAGTCAGAAGGACCTGAGTTCAAATCTGATCTCAGACACTTGACACTTATTGGCTGTGTGACCCTGGACAAGTCACTCAACCCCAATTGCCTCACCAAAAAAAGCAAAAAAAAAAGAATGTGCTAGGTGGCTGAAGGAAGGAGGAGGCTTTAGCCTCCCTTGGAGAGAGAAGACTAGGAGGGTCCTGACCCACAGGAATGAGCCTGGGTTGAAGGCTGGGAGGAAAGAGCTGCCCTGAGCTGAAGAGGCATCTCTAGTGAGACTGAGGATATGGATACTGAATTTCCCAGCCCACAAATGGGTGGGTCCTGATGCCTCATGACCTCCTTATGCCTATGCCCCATTTATTTTCCAGTAACAGAAATTCCCAGAGAGACGGTTGGGCAGAGACAGAGGTCTGAGCAGGACTGGAGGGGTGCATTGCCTGGGCTGGGAAAGAAGACCTTTGGAAGGCCTAATCCCATAAGTCATTCTGGCAGATGGGCAGTTTGTGCTCTCTCTGCCCCTTTGTTGAAGTATCAAGGTCTCCGGGGCCACATCTACCCACCTTCCATCCCCCTAGAATTTACCTATTCATTCTCTCCAATGCCAATCTCAGCATTCCAAGGCTTTGGCCACTGCTCTCCCTCCCATGCCCTCCCTCTTGAACCCTCCGCACTCCATATCTAACTGTGCAACATCTTTCCCCTCCCTCCAGCACCAACCCAAGAGGCCACACACTTCACTCCGTTTCCAGGCACCACACCCCCTTCTCACCACTCAAATGCACTATTGCAATAGCCTCTTAATAGGTCTCCTTGCCTCAGTGGTCTCTCTCCTCTTTCAAATACAACTTTCATGCAGCTGCCAAAATTATTTTCCCAAGGCATAGGTCTAACTATGTTCCTTCCTTGGGAAACAAACAAACAAAAAGAAAAAGAAAAAGAAAACAAAACAAAAAACCTTTGAATGACTCCCTATTACCTCCAGATTAAAACATGGACTCTTTAGACTGGAACACACTTCCCAAGAATTCCCAAGTTCCAAGACACATGGGACTCCCTTCTCCTTCTAAGGCTTGGCGAGACGGGATCAAGAGGGTATGAAGTAGAATGAGACCACTGTAGGGGTGAAGACATATATTCCCTGCCCTCTCCATCACTGTTCATGATTGACTCATCCCCTTAATTGTGGTCTCTAGTTTCTTGAAATGGACAGCTAGGTGGCACAGTGGATAGAGCATTGGACCTGGAGTCAGGAATCTTCCTGAGTTCAAATCCAACCTCAGATACCTACTAGCAGTGTGACCCTGGGCAAGTCATTTGACCCTCTTTGCCTTAGTTTCTTCATCTGTAAAATGAGCTAGAGAAGGAAATGACAAACCACTCTAGTATCCCTGCCAAGAAAACCCCAAATGGGATCACAAAGTGTCAGATATGACAAAAAAAAATAACCACAGGGAGCCTTTAATAATTAATTCTTCCAATAAATGTTGAAAAATTACAAAAATGAAGCTTGGCCCCAAAGAAAATATAGAAGACTCCTCCTGCTTCTTTGCAGAAGTGGGAGCATTCATGGGTGTTGAACATTGTGTATGTTGTCAGATTTTTTTTCATATGTTAATGATCTCTGATGAATTTTTTTTTCTTTTTCTTTGTTCTTTGGGATGGCTCTCTGGGAGAGGGGAGGAGCATGGATAAAGGGAGAAATTTAGGCAATGTAAAAAGAACCCAATAAAAATTTATTTTTAAAAGGGTGATTTTAGGATTCTCTCTTCACTGGAAAGGCTGGTTGGTGGTACCTAGAATGGAATCGAGGGTGTTGGCCTCTTTCCAAAGGTAGGATGGTTTCCACCCTGCCCCTAGAGCTGGTCAGCAGAGGCAATGAGAGACTTGAGGCATTGGCATCTGCGGGCATGGGGTTAAAGAGGGAATTGTGGGCAGTTCGAAGGGGAGGCTGGGCTGGGGGTGGGGAAGGAAGCAGCACTGCCTTTAGAAGCATCACAATGAGCAGAGACAGCCTTCAGCTCTGAGCAGCCCCAGCTCTGCCTGCCTTAGGTGAGGGGACAAGGTCCTGGGGGCAGGGGATACTCAATGTGGAGACAACAGGGACCCCTCTGGCCTGCAGATGATTGATCCTCTTATTACTGGGCTGGAGCCTGAGCTTGGACCCCTCCAACAGCCTGGATCCAGATGGACACAGGGGTCTGGAGAGACAGCTGAGGGCTAATGGAAGGGCTGCCTTCAGGGAGAGGGCAGAAATCAAGACGCCAGAGGAGAAAAGGTTAGATTCTAGATAGCCCTTCCTCCTCAGGCTTATGGCTGGAGGTGGGGACATACCCCAAAGAGAGCTAGGGGGTCAAAGCCACAAGGGCTGAAGGGACTTTGAGACCCACCTAAATTGTCTTCCTGCCTTCTGAAGACTGTGCCAGGGCCAAGAGGATGTCTGAACCTGAGTTGGAGGCAGAAGTGGAGGATGGGGTGTCTGATACTTCACCCATGCTGCCTGGGCCCCCCTCACTCCACCTGAAAGTTCCCCATCTTCGCCCAGAGCCCCTGGGTCCTGCTGGGCGCTGCCTCTGGGCGCTGATGCTGGCCACTGCCAACCTGACCCTCCTCCTTCTCCATCTGCTGCTGCCCCTTGCTGTGTTCTCTTTGGCCCTGCTGCCATCGGCTGCTGTGGTCTACGTGGGCTTCCACTGTCACTCCAGGGTGAGCTACAGACTGGAGAAGAAGAGGGGGTGGAGGAAGCTGAGGCCAGGATGGTAGGGGAGGGGTAGATAGGCTTGAATTGGGTTCAGAGGCTGGGCCATAGGGTTGAGGGGATTTAGAAGTGCTGGGGCCCAGGGAATGAAGGAGCTGGACTCTAGGACAAAGTAGGAGAGAGAGGTCTGAGGTTTGAGGGGGAGAGGGCCCCAGAGGCAAGGGTGGCAAACAGAAGGATGAGGATACTTTGGCCCTGGGTCTCGTAGGATGGGGGTGGGTGGATCTGAAGGCCCTAGAGAACTGGGGGACAGGTGGCCAGAGATCCAAGAGCCCCCAAAGAGAGAGGGTGGCATAGTCTGGGCTGCAATCTGGTCAGGATAGCCCCAACTTTGACCAAACCCAGCCCCAGGTTCTGGGGTCTCTGGAATGAAAGGCAGGACCCTGTTACAACCGGGGCTCAGGATTTGGAAACTGCTATAGCCCCATGGGAGGCCTTACAAAAGGGGCTGCTTTTAAAAAAGCAAGGTTCGGGTAAGGACCCTATAGACTGAGGTGTCCTAGGGTAGTTTTCACCCTTGAACCCTTCCAGAAAATCTGGGCTCCAAAGAGTTAAGAGCAGGCTGAGGTTTCACGAGGACCTTTGTTTCTGTAGGGTGAGAAGACCTATTGTTTGGCACCAGTTGGGGAGGGAGAACCAGCTCTCTGCCCTCCTCTTCTCCAGAGGGTCTCCCCTCCTGGTACCAGGGGCCACCAGATGGTAGAAGGATGGGCCCTCCACAAGGGCTTTAGGGAGCCAAAGATCGTCCTAGTCAGAGCGTGTGTGTGTGTGTGTGTGTGTGTGTGTGTGTGTGTGTGTGTGTGCATGCGCGCGCAAGGGGGTGTGTGTGAGGCAAGTGTGCATGTTTTTGTTGTTCAGTTGTTTCAGTCAGATCGGACTCTGTTGGGGGAGTGAAGTGTTTGTTATCCTGAAATCACATCAATTGGCAAGTGCCAAGCACCTGCTATGTGCCAGGTACTTTGTCTTCAGGTCCTAGAGATAATAAGACAAAAAACTGAAATGGTCCCTTCCCTCTGAGAGTTTATGTTCTAGAAGGGGAAACAACCTGGCCCCCAGTCTCCCCTTATTTCCCCTTTTCCCCTTCTTCCTGGACAGCACCTTTCTCCCTCCCTCCTCCACAGACAAGCAAATGTAAAAAGCAGGCACACGATGGATATAAATATACAAGGAGAGGAGAGATAACATAATAAGAAAAATAGCTACCATTTATGTAGTGTTTACTATGTGCCAGGCGCTGTGCTAAGACAAATACTCTCTCATTTGAGCCTCGCAACAACTGTTATGATCCCTGTTTTACACATGAGGAAACTGAGGCAAACAGGTGAAGTAGCTTGCCAAGGGTCACACAGTGTCTGAGGTCACATTTGAACTCAGGTGTTCCAGAGGAGCTCTGTCCACTGTGCCACCCAGATGGGGTACCTTCTAACCCTGAAATGTTGTGATGATGGGACCTGAGTCTAGACGGGGGAGACGAGAGGTTGAAGAGGAGTGAGGGAGGAAACTGGAGAGAAGGGGAAAGCTGAGTCTGCTGAGGAGTCAGGGGATCTGGGATTGAATGGAGGTAAAGGGTGGAGAAGAGGGAGAAGGCTGAACCTTAAGAGAAAGAAGATATGGGGGAACAGTTGAAAGGGGAGGCTGAGATGAATCACGGTAGTGGGGAGGGTCTCCCCTCTCCTCTCCCCTGCTCCTGGCAGCCAGAGTAGCAAAGGCTGGGGTGGGGGGTGAATTGAACAGGAGGGGACCCTGAGATTCCGAGAGTAGACAGGGCTGGGGAACATTTCCGGGAGGGGGCACAGAGGTTCCAGGAAATCTCAGCTCAGACCGGAAAGGTCCACGAGAGAGGGGAAGGGTGCTGTGTCCTCCTACAGAGGACTGGGGTGCTGTGTATGTATCCCACTTTCCTCCCGCAGTGGAAGGAGATGCTGTGTCTGTGCTCCAATCCCCTCCCGCAGTGGAGCGGGGTGCTATGTGTGTGCCCCCTCTTTCCTTCCCTCTCCAGGTGCTGCGCTCGGACTCCCGCCCGTGCCGAGCCCTGCTGGACGACCGCAGTTCATCCGCGCTTATTGTCCTGGGCTTCCTGACGCTGCCTCCTCTGCTGGTGCTGGCCTCAGCTGCCTATGGCCGTGTCATCCGCCGCCTGTGCCCGCTGCTGCCACTGCCGCCACCGCCCTGGGCCTCAGCCTGCGCCCGGGGCTCCTCAACCAAGCCCCAGGGAAGCCGCCTAGAAACCCAAGGAAGCTGCCTGGAAACCCAGGGAGGCTGCCTGGAAACCCAGGGCAGGTGGGAGGGCGACAGCCAAGCACGAGATTGGGTGTGAGTGAGGTACTGCCCCAAGTTTCTGAACACCCTGCTCCAGGTCATCCCAGCCACACATGCACCAGTTCCCAACTATGGGATGCCAAAGCCATGTCTCATTCTCCACTCCCAGATGCTGGAGGCCCCCAGTTCCCACACCACCTCAAACCCTATGCCCTATCCTCTGGAATTCCTAGGGTCCTGCATTGCCCTGTTCAGGGGGGCCTAGAACCCCTCGTCTTTGGAAGGGATTGAATCCACAATCCAAGCCTTCCCTTCACCAGAAGAACCCAGGGTCAAACCTTCAGTCTCAACACAAATGTTCCCTGCTGAAAATCCCAGGATTTCCTGCCCTGCTTCCCAGCAAGGTGCCATGCGCTTAATAACCTGAGGAGGTCCAGTAGCCTTTCCCTTGAGGGATCTCAACTACTGATGACCTTGCCCCCATCTCCCTCATCAACTCATTCCTCAAAGATTCCCCACAACCCCAAAGTCACCTTTACTCCCTTGGGTTTCCTGGACCATCCCTGCCTGAGCAGACAGAAGACCCAAAGTTTCTCCATCCCTGCCCACTCAGTCCCAGATTCAGCCCCCTCCAGCCCAGCTGTCACATTTCCCCACCAAGTTCCAGATCTCCAGGAGCTCAGTTCAGGAGGCATGCCTAGGACATAAGGCCCATGCCACCCTGGACCTGGCTGGGAAAGGACTCCACGAAGCACCTTTGTCCCTCAGGAACCTCTTTCCTTCAGTAGCATCCTCCTCTCCCCCTTTTCTGTTGTCTTCTATAAGAGCAATAAAAGAGGCCCAACCTTGTGTGGAGCAAGGGATAGGGAGAACTGAACTCAGTTTCTGGTCCTCCCAGAGTCATTGGGGTGGGTGGGCAGGGATGGAGGGAAAGAATCAGGACCCAGGGGAGGCATCCACCCCTACCTGCCTCCAGACTCTCCACCCCATGCCACGTCCCATATTCAAACAGAGAAGGAAGGATTCAGAGGAGACTGCTGATTCCGCTTCTCCCAACCCCCAGCTCAGCTTCCAGTGCTCACTCCTTTCTCAAATAAGTTCACATTTATGCATCTTTGGGCAGTAAAATGGAAGCTTCTTGAAGGCAAAGACTGTTTGCTTCTTATCTCTGTACTCCTATCTCCTAAGGTATGATATATTTACAAACCACTTAGCACAAATAGGGGGAAGGGAGAAAGGGAAATAGCATTTATGGAATGCCTACTAGGTACCATGTACTATGGGGTGTATAGGTATTCCAGGAGGACTAGCACCTCTCTTGTGAGGGCTACTGAGCCCTTTTCAGGGCTGCTCATCCACCCTTGGCATCCACACGATTCACCCAACTCTTACCTGTGGTTCCAAGAAGCTGTAGAATGTGCAATGGCCACACCCTGATAAACTGTCTTGGCAGACAGGCTAAACCAGGTTGAGGGTAACAGATGGATCACAGAGCCATCATCAAGTTAAGGGGATGTCTACCCCAAGTATGTGAAGACTTTCTCTGTCAGAATGGGTGGATGAGGACATTTTTTTCCAATGGCCATGAAGGCAGCTGAGCAAGCGCTGTGGAGTTCCGAGCTTAGACCTTAGTCAGACATCAAAGACACCAAGGTCACCCACTGCGTCCCTGGCTATTACCAGTCATCTTGACATTTGTCCTGCCACAGGACTTCAATGACTGTGGAAGAGAGAGTGAGGCTGATGACCTCATGTAACTCTGCCTCACTTCAATCCAATTCACCCATGAGTCAAGACCATTCCGTGATGTCGTTGTCCTCTTTGAAAATGAAAGACAAACAGCAGCTATGTGCCAGGTGCTGTGCTAAGTGGTTTGTGGGTATTACAGATATATGATTAAATTCTCACAATAACCTTATGAGGCAGATGATGTTATTATGCCCATTTTACAGTTGAGGAAATTGAGGCCAATAATGGTTAAAGTGACTTCCCTTGCACTTATTCAATGCTTGTTAGGTTCAGATCATCAGCTGATTACTGCCTATGTGACTTTGGGAAAGCCCTTTAATCTCTCTGGGCTTCAGGTTTGTCATCAGTAAAAAGGGAAGGGAGTGGACTACAGGATCTCCATGGTTCCTTCCTGGTACTGATCAAGGACCCTGTGAATTCAAGGGACTTTCAAAGCAGTTGGCCAAACACTTCAGAGGCTCTTGGAACAGGAAGGGGCCTCAGAAACCACCTAGGTAAACCAGGACCTAACCAAGATCTCCTTTACACCCTCCCCTGACAACTGGCCAGGATTTCATTTGTATAGGGAACTCCCAGTAAGAACACTCCCTCCAGCAATGCACTGGCACTGTAGGGTGGTGGAAAGAGGAGACCTCAGTTGGAGTCAGGAAGACCCAGGTTCAAATCTCATTTCAGCCGGGTGACACTCTGGGCTTCAGTTTCTTCAACTACAAAATGAGGGGGATGGACTCAATGACCTCTAAGGCTCCTTCCAGCTCTCAACCTGTGATCCTGTAAGATGCGGCAAATCACTCAGGCCATATACATCCAAGTCAGCACTTAAACCTGTCTTTCTGGCTTCCTGACCAATTCTCCATCCACTACGCCACACTCCCTCTCATCTAAGAACACAAAAAGGAATAATGGCAGAGTTCTGCCTTTAAGGTGGGGGGGGTAGAAAAGGAGAGGAGGAGAGGAGAGGACAGGCATTTATTAAGCACTGACTGAGAGCCAAGTGCTTTTTAAAAATTTCATTTGATCCTCACAACAGCCCTGGGAACTATAATCCTCATTTTCCACTTGAGAAAACAGAGGCAGACAGAAATTAAGTGACTTGCTCAAGGTCACAGAGTTAGTGAGTGTCTGAAGCCGCAATTGAATTCAGGTCTTCCTGACTGCAATCCCAACATTCTATCCACTGTGTCCCCTAGCTGCCTCATGATCTTCTAGGGGAGATACACCATCTACACCAAAAAAATTACTGAATGACAAAGAAAGAAAAATAGGACAAGCAGAAAATCCCTAGGAAACATTGGAGGAGGGAGAGATTACTCTAACTGCTCCCCCCCCCCATTAACCATAGGAATTCAGGGGATTCCTGGAAAGTGAAGGCTCAGAGGGGGGGAGATTTCTTCTGGAAGGCAGACTACTGCAATGAAAAGTGTGCTGAAAGTGGAGTCTGAGCAGCTGAGTTCCAAGCCCAACTCTGCCAATACCTGGGTGACCTTAGCTGGGGGAACCTCAGTTTCCTCATCTGTAAAATGAGGGGATTAGAATGCATGCTCTCTAAAGTCCCTTCTCACTTTAATAAAAACACCTAACATTTACCTAGCATTTACTATGTGCCAGTGATTTACAGACATTATCTCATTTGAACCTTACCACAGTCCTGGCAGGTAGATGCTTTAGAACCAGGGTCAGACAGAGATAGGAAGGGTGACCCTGTTCCAGGCATTGGGAAAGTGTGAGAGTAAAGGCAGGAGAATGGGAACTCTGAGCTATCCAGCTATGTGGACAATGCAGAAGAATAGCGGGAGATAAGGAAGATCACTGAGACAATCGTGGTGCCAGATCTTGGGGAAACCTTGAATGTCAGAGGCAGTTTTCACGGAATGCCACTGAAAGTTTTTGGCTTAAGGGAGATTACACTGGCCTCTTGACTATTCCTAGAAAAGACACTCCATCTCTTGGCTCTGGACATTTTCACTGGCTGTCTCCCATGCTTGGGATGCTTTCTCTCCTCATCTCCTCCTCCCGGCTTCCATGGTTTCCTTGAAGTCCCGACTAAAATCTCACCTTCCATACATACCACTGCCTCCCCTCTGTTGATTATTTCCTAGTTAGCCTCTATATGTCTCATTTGTACTTAATTGTTTGCATGTTATCTTCCCCATCAAACAGTGAACTCCTTCAGGGCAGGAATTGTCTTTTGCCTTTCCTTGTATCCCTACTGCTTTGCAGAGTGCCCGGCATATAGTCAGGGCTTCATAAATGCTGGTTTGCTGACCAGCTGTAGTGGAGGCTGGAAGCAGAGAAAGCAGAGATGAGGCTATTGGAACAATTCAGGTGGGAGGTGATGAAAGCCTGCTCTAGAATGGTAGCCATCTATGGAGAGAGCTTGTGGAGGTTGGGATAACAGGCCTTGGGTATTAATTAATAAGATTAGTGGGGGGGGGTCAGAGGGTCAGAGGGCGGAGAGAAGAATCCAGATGATGCCAAGCTTACGCAAGCCTGGGGATGGTGGGGCCACCAAGGTTGAGGAGTCTCTGGGAAGATAACTCACCCTCAAGAAGCTGCTGAGTCTTAATCCCTAGTTTTCAGGAATTATGCTGGCTGGCCAAGGCTGAGGGAGGGGATAAAATAGGATAAGCAAGGGAATAAAGTTGATTCCAACCTCCAAAGAAGACCAGGTCTTAAAACCCAGGCTGACCAGGAGATGGCGCCTGAGGCTGTGAAGCCTGCCTTCTGCTGGGCTCTCCTTTTTTTTTTTCTTTTTTCTTTTTTTTAGGCAATTGGAGTTAAGAGACTTGCCCAGGGTCACACAGCTAGTAAGTGCCAAGTGTTTGGTCTGAGGCCGGATTTGAACTCAGGTCCTCCTGACCTCAGGGCCGGTGCTCTATCCACTGTACCACCTAGCTGCCCCTGGGCTCTCCTTAAGAGGGGTCATCTGAGCCTACCTAGGATTCATAGGATGACTCAGAACCCATTTAGTCCAACAGCCTTATTTTACAGATGGGGAAACTGAGGACCAGGGATGTTAAGTGATTTGTCTAAGATCATACAGGTAGTGGGTAGCAGAGTCAGAATTTAAACCCAGGTCCTTGGCTCTAATCCCAATGCTCTTTCCAGGGCTGAGGGGATTTCCAATTCTTCTGTTACAGGCACGAGGATGGACCCCAGGAAGCCAGATTCCTTTGACTTTGAAGGTCTGGCATGAAGATGTATGCAATGATTGAACATGTGTAACCTATATCAAATTGCCTACTATCTGGAGGGGAGGGTTAAAGAGGGAGAGAGAAAATTTGGAACACAAAAAAATTTTTAAATGAATGTTAAAAAAAATCTTTACATGTAACAGGAAAAAAACAAAATGTTTAGAATAGAAAAAAAGATGTATGCAAAATGACATATAAATTAGCTGATGTGGTTCTATGCTGGGGAGAGAGTGAATGGTGAAAACTCAGGCATCATGAGGGGGGCTGTTTGGAGTCAAAACGGCCTCCCCATGAGCCCCCTGCCCTGCCTCCCTTCAGCTGCTCTCCTGGCCCACAGACAGGCTGTTTCTGATCCCCGTCCTGTTGCTCAGCATAGACCCAGGTGAGCACGGCAGCCAGCCGAGCCCTCCCGGCTCTCACTCTGTCTCTGACCACTCTCTTTCCTTCTTTCTCCCCTGACCACCACCTGACCCCCTCAATCGGCACCTGATTTCTCCCTGTTTCTGCTCTGTCTCTGCTCTTCTCTCATGTCTCCATCTCTCCTACCCTTTTCTTTCCCCTATTTCTGCCTTAATGTCTCTGCCTCATTTCTGCCCTTTCTTCTGTTCACCTCTTCCCTGACGACCTTTTCTGCCTCATCTGTACCATATCCAGGCTTAGTGTGGTGCCTGGTTCATAATAGGCACTTAATAAATGTTGATTGATTGATTGATGTCTCTCTCCTATCTTCCTCATCTCTGCCTTGTCTCCCCCTTATATCCCTTCTCACTTTATCTTTTCTCCCTACCCCAATCTCTGTCTCTAGGCAGGAAGAGGAAGGGGGAAATGGGACAAATAATAATAATACTAACAACAACTAGCATTTATACAGTGCTTTTTTCTTTTTCTTTTTCTTTCTTTCTTTTTTTTTTTTTGGATGAGCAATCCAGGTTAAGTGA